CCAAATACAAGTCCCTGGAACAGAGAGGGAAATTTGCATCCACGAGGCCACACATCTGAAGCCAAGAACTAAGTTCCTAGAACTAATCTAGTTATAATTTATCTCAAGTGTATTGGTATCACCAAGCAGAAGAATTGTGTATATATTTAGTGACATGCGTATGGCATGCAGTGACAATTCCTTAAACAGGAATCAAGAAAGAAGTCAGGTACTCTGGTTTTAGCTCCAAAAGAATCCTTATTTAGTCAGTTAGGAAGATTCATTTCCTAATATTGTTATTTACTATCTCCTATCCCCTATATCCTTCCTAATATACTTGAATTTGAAAGCATGGGTGGAAACAAGTTTCAAGGTTCATTAGAGGAGAAACAGATCCAAGTTACTACCGACCCTGATTCAGACACTGCATTTCTTTGACATCATTGAGTACATTAGAATTCTTTCCGGCCTATCAGTGTTTATTAGATTTGATGCTGCCTAATTCTGACGTCCCAGAGGAAGGTGACTCACTCCCAGTAAGCATGTTATCAGTCTCTAAGGACATGTCTAATCTGGATGACATCATCTTGTCTGGAAGATACATTTTAGGTAGATAGTTCTCAGAGCTCATGAAAGGAAAACTTTCCATTTGCGTGCTTCACTAATCCCATTCCATTAAAGCAGCTATGAGAGGCTGAAAGGGAAAAGAATGTGCCTCTGTGAAGGAATACAGAATTATAGATTTAATCACTGAAGACTACATTTATTATAATAGTCAGTGTAAAGGTCTTCAAGGAGTCTCTATTGATATAAATAAGGATCACCCTAAATCTTTCTCCTCCAAGATGCTTCCAACAATTATTCAAGTACTAGCTTTGTAATCATGGAAAGTTACTCAAGTCCTCTGAGTCTCGGTCACCTCTTTTGTATAATGAGGACTGTCTGACTTGTGATTCCTCACTGGGGCACTGTGAGGAATAATGACATAATTTGCCACCACATGGTATAAAACAGTGGCAGGCAGAAGCAGAGGAAATGGGGCACAGGTGACTTACTCCCCTAAGGGGGCTGAAATACATTTTTTTATAGAAAAAGCATGAAGGAAATCTCCATAAACACTGGCATAAAGATTTTCCTTGTCACTGCCAATGAATTTCTTCAACCACCCAAATGTTAAAAAGCCATGAGATCTGAAGTCAGAATTGGCCTCAAACCTCATATCTAGCATAGATTAGCTACTATTCCTCCCTTCTTTCCCAATTTTTACTTCCTCAGGCTACAAAAACATAATTATTGTGCTGGAATATAGCTAGCTGAGCCAGCTAGGCCGGTAGAGCATACAACTCTTGATCTTGGGGTTGTGAGTTCAAGTCTCATGTTGGGTGTAGAGATTATTTAAAAATAAAATCTTTTAAAAAAATTAAAGCAAAAAGAATCAATCTAGTTACCTGGATTAAAAGATGGATAATAATTCAGGGTCTAGCAGTGGTTTGGCTTAAATTCTGACTCTACCAGTCACAAGCTGAGCGACTTTGGGCAAGTATCTAAATCTCTCTGATCCTGGATTTACACATCAGTAAAATGTGGATAATATCAACAACCATCTTATGAGGATGTTATGACATTGAAAATTTTAATAGGTATAAAGCATTTAGAACAGTATCTGACACATAATAGGGGCTCAATAAATGTCACAAGATAGAGAACATGCCAACCAGACATAAAGTAGCTAGGCCCTTCGAGTAGGTACCCCCTTTACTAACTTCCCAGACAGAAGACTAAAGACAGGATTTTTTTTCTCTTCTGTAGATCTGCTTATTATGAAACCATATCTTATTTTTCATTTACATATTTTTCTTAAGGCCATTTTGTGCAGTTGATAACTGTGATCATCAGTATGGGGGAGATCTCATCAGAGATATTTTATTCTACATCACAAGGATGTGTGAAGGAGTGAATTCTATGGAAGGAAAGGAAAGGAAAGGTGGGAGGCAGTCCGAGTGAAGGAGCAAGAGGCCCAGGCATTAAAGAAAAGTGAGGAAGAAGGCTTGAAACAAAGCTTTGTCCTCTCCTCCTAACATTTACAAATGCTAACCTCAACCTTGGTTGATTCAGCCAGCTTACCATGCCTTCTTGTTGACATGAGTTCACAGCACAGAAACATAATAGGAATAGCTTGAATGAGCTTGTTTATGATGAGAAGGGGAGAGAGACACAGTAAGGAAGCCTCTAGTTAGGAGAGACAGGAGGTCCAAACGTCCTCAAGCTCTGTGGGACAATTATAGGAATACCATAGGAATATCATTACAGTGGCTATCTATGGGACTATGATCTGTAGTACAGATGATACCCCCAAACACACAAGTGAAAGACACAAGATTTATCAGCATGTCTAGGTTCCCAGCCTCTATATGCTCTACATCACCCCCATTCAAACCCTTTTGTTTTTTTTTTTGTTTTTTTTTTACTCTTCAGCACTTAGTTGAGTTTTGGCCTACTATTCCTGTTATTAGGGTTTTATGACATAAGTTCAGAAGAATTGAAAGAATGTGAATGGAGAGACAGGTCTAGAGATCCAAAAGGAAGGAAAAGAGAAAAAAACTATAAAAGCCATAAGGGCTGGGTGTTAGGGTCTGAGGCATTTCATGAGAATGGATTCTGGGGCACCCATGGGGGTGAGACAGAATGGAGAGGAGGATTGAAGGGGATCTTAGAGAGTTGCTCTAGGTTGTAAAATGGACTCCTTTTATTGGTCCTCAAGAGGGCCAAGTATCATTTAAAATTCCTCCTGATTTCAAAAATATGACTTTATTTAGAGACTAACCCACGGTCCAGTAATCAGGGTTATTTACGGGCAAACTTCAGTCTAGAACTTCACTCCCACTCACTAAAGACGTGGGTTAGGACACGCAAGCCCCTTTATTCCATTAAAGGCAAACCACTTTGCTCTTCTAAAGAAAGACTTGTTGGTGGGGGCACCAGGGTGGCTCAGTCAGTTGAGTGTCCGACTTCGGCTCAGGTCATGATCTCAGGGTTCATGGGTTCGAGCCCCATGTCAGGCTCTGTGCTGACAGCTCAGAGCCTGGAGCCTGCTTCAGATTCTATGTCTCCCTCTCTCTCTGCCCCTCCCCTGCTTGCACTCTGTCTCTCTCCCTCTCAAAAATAAATATACATTCAAAATTTTGAAAAAAAAATTGTTGGTGAAGGCAAGTGAGAAAATATCAGCAAGTTTTATTTAAACTTTGGGAATAACGTTTAAAGGGAATAAAACAAATCCTCAGTCTTTTCTTGAGCAGAAGGAGGAGACATTTTGCTACCACCTTTAACTCCTAAGGGGAAGAAAAGCCAGTCAATAGATGACCTGTTTAAATTGGATGAGAGTTGACATGATGCTTACATCATCAGGGAAATTAACAACTCGAAGAATAGGAAACGCATATCCCTTGAGACAGTTGCAAGAAAAATTGCTCAGAAATGTCTGTGCTGGGGACTCACGGGGAGTGCAGCTGGAACAGAAGCCAGACCTGGAGTTTCCTAGACCAGTGTGTGACAGCCAGGATAGTGAACAGCCTTCACTGGCACAAACAGGGCCCAAAAGAATGAAAAAGGATCTGGGGTTACAAATTGTGGTCTGGGATGGTGAACTTAGAGCTGGGCAGAGAGAATCAGAGCTGACTTCCTGAGAGGAGAAGGCTGTGCTTGGCTAGGAAGCAGTCCATCACCCAGCAAACCTTAGCCCAGCACCTGCTAGTCAGATTACATATCAGAATCTCTAGGGACTATCTTTAGAAATGCACATTCCTGCACCTTACCTGTGGAGACCCTGATTAAGAAGATCTCAGATGAGGCCTGGGCATGATTTTTCATTTTCACATAATTCTGGTGAAACTTACTCATATGCCAAAATTTCAGAACTGCCAGTTAAGGCAATCACAACTATTCCCTTTCTAACCAGACCATTAAAGCAATGATTCCACTTGTCACAAACTAGTCAATCAGGGACTTTTTTTTGTTTGTTTTCATTTCCATAGTAAACTCTTTTCAGGACAAAATGAAGAAAAGTCTCACAATCTCTCCTAAAAGACCATGCAATCTTCTCTTCCTCCTCCCTTCTTCTTCCTCCTCCTCCTTCTGCTGCCTCCCATCCTCCTCCTCCTTCTTTTTAATTTCACACCAAAAACAAAATAGAGCTATAACGTGTATGCAACCTACATCAAAACATAAATAGGTTTTGCCACATAGCTTCTTCAAGCAGCTTTTGAGAGACAATCATGTAGACTCAGGAATGCATGAGGGAGTCATGAGTGCTTCAGAAAGAGTACCGAGAGGCGGAAACAAGAAGCAAACATCTCACTCAGTGTTTAGAGATGGTTCCCATTAGGATTTGGGCTATAAAGGACCCATAGCACTCCAAGCTCAATTCAGAGGATTCTAGCAGGATCAGGAAAGGCAAGGTGGTGGCTCAGGGGCAATGAGACCAGGGGCTTTGAGGACCCAAGTGGCAAGAGTCAGGAACAGCCAGTGTCCGAAGGTTGGGGCCTTGATGTCGGCTGGCCAATCAAAGACACATCATCTGTGATTGACAGCACAGTGCTTCCCAAATACTAGCCCCTGGACATCAGAAGTAGCCAAGGAACTAGCTTAAAATACAGATTCCCAGGCCTCACCCCATTATGATCCTTGCCACTTTCTGTCTTATTTATGGTAATCATCTGCTCAGTCCATAAACATGTATAAAGTGCCTACTACATGCTCACTAGTCTGCTAACTGCATGACAACAGGAAATGCATCTGATTTGCTCAGCCTCCATGGCTAGTACAGTGCCTAACTAAAAACAACATCCGTTCATTCAAAAAAATGCATGGAAGTGCTTACTATCTGCCAAGCTGAGCTAGGCACTGGGCCACAATGATTAATAAGTATGCTCGCTATACCAGGTCCAGTGGGGGAGACAGCCCAGCGGTCAATAAGTCACATCAACTTGACAAGTGCTTGAACAATACACATCGATATTTCTTACCTTCTGAATCTACCCCACACAGGAGCCAAGGAGATTATCCTAAAACACAAATCCAGCCATGATACTGCTTGAAGAAAGTCAATAGTTCTCCTACGATTCCTCTTCCCAAAGAAGGTCTGTAGACTCCACGTAGACAGATGTCTAGAAAGGAAGTTTTCATGGTCAAATAACTGTGGAAGAGTCTGGGACAAATTAAGTTAAATGAATCAAGTTTATTTTTTTAAGTTTATTTATTTATTTTGAGAGAGAGAGAGAGAGAGAGAGCTCGCATAAGTGGGGAGGGGCAGAGAGAGAGGGAATCCCAAGCAGGCTCCACACTGACAGCATGGAGCCCAATGCAGGGCTTGAACCCACGAACCATGAGATCATGACCTGAGCCTAAACCAAGAGTCTGACGTTCAACTGACTAAGCCACCCTGGTGTCCCTGAATCAAATTTTTTTAATAAAGGATTATGATACTAATGAGTCTTCTAAATCTCTAAAAGAGGGGATAAGTAAAAAAAAGGGGGGAAAGTAATATTCAGCACATTATCATTCTTAGTTGACTGTGGCCCTTTTTGGGCACATCTTAAATAACTGGTGCTTAGAGAACAGACTTTGGGAAATTCCGGCTGGCCACATCATGCCCAACATTCGCATTATGTGTCATAAGGTTCCCCATGACCTCCTGCACAAGCTTCTGCTTCCTGCTCTGGTTCCTGCACTTTACTAAAACCAAACTCCCTCTTACTTCTAAGACTTTATGCATGTTGCCTGCCCCCCAACACACACACACACACACACACACACACACACACTCTTCAAGCCCTGGAACATCCTTCAGGGCACACAGAATTTGCCTGAAGACAATACATGTCCTTGAAGAGTCAGCTCAGACATCAGTTCCACCAGAAGTTTCTGCTGTTCAGCTGCTTCTTCTGTATGTCCTCAGAGTCCTCTCTCATGATTCCCACACAGCACTCAGTGTGCTATGTGATCATGGTCCTGCTAGACCATGAGTTTCTGAAGGGAAGGAGTCTTTATAAGGTTTTGTTTCTCTCCTATACCAGAATTTCTCAACCTTGGCACACTGGACATTGGAGCTGGGTAATTCTTTGTTGTGAGAGGCTGTCCTGGACACTGTAGGATGTTTAGTGGCATCCTTTGCCTCTATCCATTAGATGCCAGTAGCCTCGCTGTCACTTTACCCTCTTCCCCCAAGTCACAAGAATCAAAGATGTCTCCAGACATTGTCCGATATTCCCTGGAAGAACAAAACCATCCCTAGCTGAGAACGACTGTTCTATATCTAGTGCGGTGCCTGGCACTCATGAAACAAATATTTACTGAACATGTACCTCTTGTCAGGCCTTTTCCAGACACAGGTAATAATACAACTGTGAACAAAACACCTGCCCCACCTTTAAGCTGCAGGAGTCGAGAAGTAAACGGACGTGATTACAATTGTAATAATAAACATAGTTCTATGATGGCTGAGAAAGACTTGTCTATTTTGTTCATTTTTATACCTCCCAGCTCCTAGGACAGTACCTAGTACATCCTGAGAGCTCAAATAAATATTTGTTGATGAATCCTATTACCTAAAATTTACAGAGCACTTACTATGTGCCGGAAACTGTTCTAAACATTTTATGTATATTAAATTATTTTAGCTCCATAATGAGCCTATGAGGGTCTATTACTATACTCATTTATAGATAAGCAAACTAAAGCATAGACATTTTAAATCACTTGGCAATGATCATGTAATGAGTGCAAGGCAGGGTCAAGGCTTGAACTCTGGCAAGGTGCCTGGTTCCAGAGTCCAAGCTCAAGTGCCCCACATGTTTTTACCAAGGATGACCAATACTGATGGAAACTTCCTTTGGACAGGCTTAACAACAACACAATCGAGTTATTTCTTTTATCTCATCCTTAGCACCATGTTATTTGAGAAAACTTGAAGCACAGAAAGGTTAAGTAACCTGAATTCTCCCATAAATGGTAAGTGCCTGAGCTGACTTTTATGCTCTGACTGTGGGACCTGTGCCCTTAACCACTATGCTATACTGCCCTAAATATGGAAGCATAATAAGCATAACTGTTAGATGACTGAGGAATGGTCTACATGCCTTCTGCATCCCCCACACCACTACACAGAGAGCCTAATATATAGATGGTGCCCCATTAATGATTTTTAAATGAGGACAGTAAAGTATAAGGGATGGAACACTTGGTTAGGGATCAGATCTGACTTGTCCTGATTCTGCCTTGGAGTTGCTGTGCGACCTTGAAGACTTGACTCCTACACAACCAGGCCCCCACTTAGCTACCTAAAATGGGAGGTGTCAAATTTCCAGAGTTCCCTTCAGCTCTGATGCTGATTACAGCAGCCATAGTCCTGAGTGAACCCAGAGAGCCCTCTTTCCATCACCGAGGCCAACCAGGTAAAACTCCTCCCCTGACCGTCCTGATTGGTTTGCTCACCTCCTGATGCAGGTGCTGTTTTGGTTGCCTGGTAACATGATGATGGAGATTGCCAGTTCCCAGAGGAGAAATGAATGAATGATTAGAGATATTCACACCAGGAGCAGTGGCCACAGCCAGAGAAGCACATTGTAGATTTCATAACTCCACCTGTCTGGAATGTGCTTTTCATATAATGCTGATACAGCAGCCTCATGGGGAATCTGGAGGTGGCAAAAATCCTTATGCATGGTCCTATCTGCCCATAAGGATGTGACCCTATCACATAAATCATAAGCACAGAAGTGTATTTTAGTATCACTAATAAAAGATCTCCCTCTGCTCTCTTCCATGTAAAAAACTACTATTTCCTGTGCTCCACCTGCCTTTAAATTTTTTTTTTCAACGTTTATTTATTTTGGGGACAGAGAGAGACAGAGCATGAACGGGGGAGGGGCAGAGAGAGAGGGAGACACAGAATCAGAAACAGGCTCCAGGCTCCGAGCCATCAGCCCAGAGCCTGACGCGGGGCTCGAACTCCTGGACCGCGAGATCGTGACCTGGCTGAAGTCGGACGCTTAACCGACTGCGCCACCCAGGTGCCCCCACCTGCCTTTAAATGTACATCTAGGTTCTGAATTACTGGACAGATTGTATACAGTAGAACTGATCCCCATGATCACTCTGAAAAACAGAACTGAAGTTCAGCAGATAGGGAATCCTTCAAAAAACTTAAGAGCAATGCTTCTGAAATAATGTAGATCTGGGTTTAATTCCTGGTTTTGCTACTATAAACTGTGCAACTTTGAGTTAGTTTCTTAGCTCCTCTGAGACTTAGTTTCTCCATCTGTAAATTGGGGATATTAATACCTATCTCAAAGTGTCATTGAAAGAACTAAGTAAGATATTAGAGGTTGAAGCACCAAACCAGATGCTGGTACATGTGCACACAATTTTTACCATTATTATTGTTACTGTTTAGGGTCACACACCACTTAAATGGTAAAGCTGGGGTTTGAATACAGGTCTCTGGTAATGCCAAGGCCAACTTTTGTTATTATTACTTCATTCCTTCCCTGAAAGGAAAAGCCATAAGCATGCATTCTTTCAGCAAATACTTATGAGCCCCTATGTGATGGTGCTGAAAATGATACCTAACTCTTACACAGCAGTTTTTAGATCAAGCTGTGTTTTTGCATGGATCCTCTCACTTAATATGATGGTCATTTCCCTGATGTCTGGATGGAGATCGTTTTGGAGAAGGCAATGGTCTGTCAATGGTAGAAGTTAAACTCTACTCTTTTCTCAGGAGCTCGAAAGCCAGGAGGGGGAGCCCCATCCCCCAGGGCAGTGAAGCCAGCCCAAGGGCATGCTGGCAAAGGGCAATGAGTTACCAGCTTAGGTCCCTGATCCCGTATGTATGAGATATGGGATCTTAGCAGGTTCATGTACCACTGTAGGCCTCAGTTTTAATAATCTGTAAAATGGGAATGTGTTTATTATGCTTACTTCTCAGAGTTGTTGGGATAATTCAGTAAGCGGATGACTGCAGAATGCTCAGCCCAGTGCTCCCCATGGCAGCTGCCACAATGATGATGGCGATCACTATGCCATCCAGAGGCCTGCCTGTACTATGGGTACCTGCCGGGGAAGATGGGCCTAGGTGGAATGCCACAGCCAGCCCCTAATCTCTAAGGGTCAGAGGAACGAGAAGAAAGTGAAAGAGGGAGGAGAAAAGGACCACACTTTACTGTCTTTATAGCTGACTTTGAGAAGACAGGGACAGAGGTGGATGCCACACACGGTGGATGCTGTTGTAAAACCCATGGTCCAATAAAGCAGCTATAGTCTGGGACAAATAAGATAGAGACCAGTAGTGCTTAAGGCTGGGCTCCACACCTCCAGGGCACACTCCCTCATAACCCGGGGATCAAGGGGTCTGCTCATTGTCTGAGCTCTAAGTGGTAAGATTTATGTGTTTCTTTTTTGGGAAATCTAAGAGTTGATCATTTCAATGCAAATAAAATGGGGAACACTTGAAGAACACTTATTATATACCAGGTACTGCCCTAATTTATATGTTTGAATAGATTTCATCCTCATGCAACTCCCGAAAGTAATTATTATTATTACCCTCCTTGGGTAGATAAGGAACCTAGGCAAACAGCTTGCCCAAAGTCAAAAACTAAGAAGTAGCAGAACAAGGATTCAAACACGGTATAGTTACAGCTTTCATGTTCTCAACAGCTACAGTTATTGCCTTCCCATGTAGTTAAAGGGGAAAAAAATCCATTCTCAGTGTGGCCTGGCTATTCCTCTGGTGATTGAGCTCGGCTGAAATGACCAGGGTCTGTTTAGAGGCCAACCGATGCAGCGTCATTATTATGTGGGATTTAAGATGGAAGGAAAATGACCTGGAAGGGGTAGGTTCTTTGTTGTGTTTCTGTGCAGACAGAATCCAGACCCTCAAAGTGGTAGAAATGGAGAGCAAGGGCAATTTTAATCTAAAAAATAAAAAATAAGAAAAAATAAAAAGTGGGTTTCCGAATTCCATGCTGGTTCTAAGTCAAATGCAACTAATATTGAAGTTATGGTGATGGTCAGGCACTTTCATGTTTAAGCCTCACAACTGTCCTGCAAAGATAGTTCTATTACCTTATTTTATAGCGGAAGCACCCAAAGCTTGGAGAAGTGA